TTTTGGAGGTTTTTGCTATAGGGCGCATGCGCTCGCCAGAAAGACAGAGAGAGACAGAGAGACAGAAAGCCAGAAATCACCCCCCAGGGGGGATGGCTGAAAGGTTTTTACCGGAGTGTTACGGAAACGGCGACCCCATCAACCACAAAAGTCGGTTCTTGATGTAAAATACAAGAGGCTTTATTGCTAGCGCGCTAGGACTCCACTCCCAGTCATACAAGACATGGCTAAGAGTGAAGCCCCGAACATAGGAGTATTCAGGTTATATAGACATGAGTCCGTGGGGTGAGGGGAGGAAGCAAGATAAGAGGTTACAAGGTAATCTTATGATGACCATTTGGTCAGGCTTGCAGGAGCATTTGATCTGGGTTTCCGGGGCTAGCAGAAGGGAGGGATTTTACACTACAAAGGTCTGGGCTAGCTTGCCAGACTAGTTTGCAAATGGCTCTGGGCTCCCTGCAAGGTGTTAACAAATTACCCCAGGTTTCCACAACTTCAGCAGCATCCGCTTTAGTACAGAAACAAAAGAGGCAAAGGTTAGACTTTACCTTTGTAAGACAGGCTAATCTAATTTTATTCTTACAGTAGAAGCTGCCAAGGGCCGGGCACCAGGGCGGTCTCTGTAGGACACGTTGGATGTGAACACTGCTTATTTTTGTTTTTGAGAGAGTTTTGCTATAGGGCATGTGCACTTGCTGGAGAGAGAGAGACAGAGAGACAGAAAGCGAGAAATCACCCCCCAGGGGGAATGGCCACGCCACAATCCCTTCTCCATTCTCCTCTCGGGATCTTGGGCATGCACGCACACGTGCCCGGCGTGAGTTTCAAGCTGCTGGGTCCAGGACTTGAACCGTGGTCGACTAGGTGGGAGCCCAGCAATGTAGCCATTACGCCGCCTGCTGGTCCTGGAGCGTGCAGCACTAAGACAGTAACACGTGTGTTTACCGTTGCTGACACTCGGTGTGGGTGAGAGCAGGTTACTGAGCTGAGGAGCCCTCCCCTACCTACTGTTGCTCATTGCTTGCTTTATTTTACTTAACAATCTTTGAAAGTGTATTTATTTATTATTTTTCGTGAGAGAGCCCCCCGCCCGCCCATCAGGGTCTCTACCCCGTGATCCGTCCCCACCCTGAATGCCCCCAGCACCTACAGGGAGGCCCTGGGACGTGAGCCTGGGCCCACCCACTGAGTCAGTGGTGTCACTGCTGTGCCTGCCGGCCTCCGTTACGGCACTCCCCCTGCCCCTCAGAAGCAGCGTGGTTTGATTTTAGCAGCTGGATGGCTTAGTCCTGAGTTGGACAGTTGGAATGTCACTGGCCTAGGGCTGGAGGGACTGCGAGAGTGGCCGACAGTGTGGCAGTGGGTGGCCTGGCCCTCGAGTGGTGACACTCTGGCTTTCATGTCTCCGCAGGCTGCCCTGCAGTCCCAGCGAAGGACGGAGGAGCGGCAGAGTGGCCTGGCCTCTCGTGCCACCAACGGAGAGCTGGCATCTCTTTGCAGGGGCCCTGCCCCCGTGAGCAAGGCCGAGGGCTGGCTCCCCCTGTCAGAGGGGCAGGCCCAGAGTGAGGACTCAGACCCGCTCCTGCAGCAGATCCACAACATCACCTCCTTCATCAGGCAGGCGGAGGC